TTTTGCTATGTAAAATTCCGTCCCAAGCTGATTTGGGCTTAATACGCGACTGAGCCTGTTAACCGTGGGCTTAATAACCGGCGACTACTGTAGAGGGAATCCGATGACCTCAACTCTGGGAGAGGTGTTTTGACATGAGCCTTTGCAAGAGGCACACTTCTTTTGAGTCTCACTAGAGGAATGTTGATATTTATCTGCTATCATCTGAAAATCCTCGGTAAATTGTTAGCAAGGAAAAATTAAGTCATATAAATTGTTGGTTTGGTCAAAAGTTTTCTAGGAACAGCGTTCAAGTCCATTGCCACTTTAGGTAAAAACTAAAACACCTGAAAGAGCAGTTCTGGCCGATAGACTTAAAACATAGAAATCGACAAGAACACGAAAAATCTGCAGGCAAGTGGGAAGGCTACCTTCCGATAGAAAAGCTAAAACGCTCGCTGCGTAGGGACTCACTAAGATTCGTTTCGCTGATTAATTTTCGGAGTTCAAGAGCGTCCCTTCCAACTCGCTGGGGCTGAGTTTACTAAAATTAGTACTTTTCTCAACCATTTACAGGTAAAAGTTGTTGATTGGGTAGAAAAGCTGGAGGTGGTGGAGTTGATTTCCATTATTTGGAAAGTTGCTCTTAGCTATCTTGTGCATAAAACGCTCGCACTCCAAAACCCTGCAACACGACCTTAATGATTTGTTGCTTTTCGGTTTCTGGGTTGTTATTTAGGACATTCTACTCACTTATTTTCATTCTGTTCTGACAGTGTTTACAATTGTACTTTTTGAGTCACTGTACAGAGTTTTTATTGATCCGAGCAGGTGGCTGAACGAGTGGCAGACCAGGACAAATGGCTGTCTTGAAAACATGCATTTTCTGTGTCCGTGTTGTCAAGACGGCATCGAGAAACTGTCACCTATCGACTACTTCAACACGAGTTCGATTCGCCCCGAGCCCTACTGGACCCATGCATATTGGCGGACTACGTACAGCCCTTGTCAATTTTATGCTCGCTCGGAAGAGCGGGGGTAAATTCCTCCTACGGATCGAAGACACTGATCACGTAAACGGATTTAGTTCATATGTTTGAAGTCAAGGTATTCCGAGACTGCCTTGAGGGATATATTTGAATGCTTGAGCTGGAGCGGCTTGAAACCTGATGAGGGCCCCGATATCGGCGGACCTTGTGGTCCGTATGTTCAGGTACATAATTACAAGAATTTCAGCTTTGCAGTTCTGATTCGAGAAGGATGACTTGTAACGGAATTTACGTAGCGCCACTCTTCATATTTTTCTTACAGTCTGAACGAAAAGACATCTACCGACAGTATGCGGAACGTCTTGTCAAGTCTGGACATGCGTACCCCTGTTTCTGTTCTCCAAGTCGACTAGAAGTGCTCAGAAAAGAACAGCGAAGGCGTGGTGAAACTATCCGTTATGATAACCGCTGCCGCCACCTCTCTAAAGAGGCTGTTCAGCGAGCAATGCAGGAAAATTTGCCCTTTGTTCTCCGCTTTAAGGTTAGTTGATTTTCTCTTGGTACGAATTTTACGCATTCCCTTGCCTGTTTTTTGCCTAGCCTTTCACCATACATCTGCATAATCAATTTATTTTGTCTTGCAGGACATTTTGTCGCCGTGCCACCTTTTTTCTCTTGTGATTTGTCTCTAGGTATACGCCTTGCGTTAACTTGGACCCATCGTTTGTTGATAGTTTCATCGAAAAAATAATCAGCCTCTGTATTTCACGTGCAATCAGAGAAGATTAACCTCGTTTTCTTTGATTGGGCGATTTGTAACATCGTAGTTCAGCGTTTCTCCAGATCCTGTCTTGCAGACCACACTTGGAGATTGCGCGCAAGTTAAGCATACTTTTTTATTAGTGTTTCATGCCTCTTTGGACCCCAGTCGAGTCACCCGGGTATCTGAATGGCGTATTGTCACGTCATTCTCATAACTTCAGTCCTCACTTTCATGTATCTTCGATCATATGAGAGTCGTTGCCATCATTTTACGTTTTTGCTATCATTCGTCCATCAAAAGACCTGAGTGATTGTACAGTGTTTACTTAAGGCACACGGACGATATCCAGGATCTGCATCTCCATTCAGAGAGCACATTTTGTCACCTTCAGTAACTTACTGACCGCTTAATCCTTCACAAGTCTATTGATCCTCTTGAAGCAGTCCACTGAACTAGAACTCTAACATCATCTTTGCCTACTCTTTGTGTCGTCTTCATACCTATCGAATACCTAATCTAGTAATTCGGGTAACTATTGTAGTAGAAGGGGCAGGCGCCGCTACATTCTTTTCTTGTATGGCAGTCCGCTTTTTAGTACTTTACCCAATCGAAAT